CTACCTGCGAAGTGTCGTTTTTTTCCGAGTAAAAATGCTTCAGGTACGCTCAAAATACTGTGAAAATTAGAGAAGCTGTCCCGAATTACCCCAAGTTACTCTAGTCTGTATTTGTTTTTTTCTCAAATGACTAAGTGATATACATTAACAGTACATAGTCTACATATACAATATAATTAATTAACGTTGACTTGAAAACGGTAAAAGTCTCTATAGGATTTCTGGCGTACGGAATCAGAATAAAAACAACCGGCACTCTAGACGACTTATGGTCGTAAGGTAACATCTTTCCCGATTGAGAAAATTTCTTAATCGAAGATATTTCTTCGTCGGGAAAGTGGAAATGGACTGTCCATGTGTTTATTATTTAGGAGATAGTGCTGCATCATTTGCAACACCAGCAAATCAAGATTCCAAGTTTGAAGTGAAGTACGTTTGGATCAAGAGAAGGTTTTACGGCAAGGACGCGCAAGAGGAGGATATATAGCAGTACAGAAGACGATTATACAAGATGCAAGCCTAACAGTATGTCGAGCGAACCCTAAGGATGCAGTGATACAATGGTCGAGAATGACAACTGCCACTGATGATAATGTCTTAGACCCAACTCTAACAGTAACAGCTGTAATAGAGAGAGAACACGCAGAAGCAAGTAGTCTGAATACGTAGAACTCGAACTTTAAAATAGTTGTGGGTAAGCTAAGATTTAGTTAGGTTTTTTGTACCTTAGAGAGCGAATCAATAACTAACAAAGTGCCTTGAATAGCTCCCAGATTTGCCGCTTTTAAAACCGATGATCAACGGTGTTAAAGTCAAAACTAGATGAAACAGGACGTTCTAACTTGAAACTGGAATTCAGACTTTTATTAGACAATAATTAATAAAATAATGTAAAACAAAAATTGGAATTTCGGTTTTACCTTTTATAAATACAGTTCGAAAACAAATTGTCAAAATTACTTTCTTACTTTTATTAGGACTTTAATATAGTTCCATTGTAATTTGAGAGAAAGAGTTACAAACCAATGAATTATTCTTCTTGATTATAGATAGCTAGCAAGAACATTCGGGCAGTCCTTACAGACTGGAATATGACGATGGATGAGAGATCATACATAAATGACGATGTATTAGCTAGATGAACTTCATGAAGAATTGAAACAAACAGCTCAAAATGATCAATAGTTGTTGTAGTCATTTGTTCTACATGTATATTGTGTACACATATAAGCAAAAGAATCAGAATGAAGAAAATGAACGATCAAAGGTAAACATATTACAATCAGCACCTTCTATGTTTAGAGCCACTAATAAACATCTTGCAGACACTTTAATAAGGACTACACAAATCAATTACACCAATTTTTGTCGTATACATTGTTCAATGAAGGTTCAATTTTTTGCTTTAGCGATGTGTCCTTCAGCTGTACAAATAGAGAAATCATTAAGTTTTCAGAGTGTCTATAAGTGTATTGATTGCTGAGTTCATCTCTCTCTCTCTCTCTCTCTCTCTCTCTCTCTCTCTCTCTACAATCTATTTCTTTAACAGTTATTTTTTCTTGTCTGTAACATTCGTTTATTCTACTCAAACAGAACGATCTAATACAGAATCATTCAATTTTAGCTTATTTTATTAAACTTTAATAATCTGATATATTGATTCTCTGTAAATCCTACTAATCAGTTAATTGATGCAGAGGGAATTCGAAACGGATAACTTTGAGGTTTTAATACGTTCAACAGAATATCGAACTATGCAAAAGCTTTCTCATCTCTTACTCTCTCACTCACTCAATTTAATTTGATTTCAAGAGAAACTAATTGGTAACATGACATGATTAAGTACATTAATTTTATGCGATATTATTTTGAATTGAAAAACTAGAATTTTTTAGTAGACAAAAGTAAAACAAAATATTTGTGACAGAGGTCACCCCTCCATTTTACAACCTCTCCAAACTGACGACGTTAATATAGGTATTTCTATAAAACTGAACACTATCAATGGCTATTGTTTCTCTTAGCAAGAGAGCATTAGACAAACATGTATATAGAAACGGTTTTATCATCAACAGTTAAGGATTTGTTGACGAGAAAGCGCAAATTGCAAAGATATTCTTCAGAATCAAGTCTTTTGATAATGACAGAAATTTCAAGTCATTCTGAATTTATGTTAGTAACCCATGCTCTTATTTTCGTTCGCTCTAGTAAAATTTCTTATGTTATCCATGCTAAAATTTCGAAAAGGCTTTTACATGGCTTTATAATTAAATATCTGTTCTAATAAAAGAATTCTTTTATTTTATGGCTACATAACAACACTTCATATGCAATAGCTACGCAATCAACATGTTATCAGCTGTTGTTTACGCAGATGATTATTTTACATTGTAATACTCTAGTTCTGTTCTCATTTTTATTGCATACATTCTCTCACCTCTTTTGCGTTAAATTGAAATTTAGCTAGATAAGAATGAATCTTATATTTATGGTCATATTTAGTCTGCTAATCAGTAAGTATCTATCATTGTTTTTATGCATTTAACCGCATTGGTGAGTTCAGCCTCTAGACACGACAACCTCAAAATACCGATAACTTCACTCTTAACTGATTGAGTTCAAGTAAGGCATCTTTGTATTTTTAAGTAATACATTTTGCAAATGGTCTACAATGTTATCAATGTAGGAGTGATATTGATAATCGATGTGAAGATCCGTTTAATGTAACAAACCCTCCTGGAAAATCAACAATTGAAGCGCCAAATGCTGTGTGTACGGTGCGTGCATACATCTGATGTTTTTCTCCGATTATGTTGACTTTAATCTAATTGATGTTTTTCAGAAAACGGTTGGTACATCCAAAGCAGGTGCTCCATTGATCTCTAGATTCATGGATAGTTCATGTCCATCAAAGACCAGAGATGTGAGTACAGATATAATGGATCATGCAAATATATATTGTTGCAAAGCCTATCTTTGTAATGATGGTATGACCCTACGATCAGATGTTGGTTCCAGTTTAGCGTGTGTTTTACCATCGTATATACTATATATGACGATAAGTGCAATTATTTAAATCTTTACATTCATCTGTGACTATTGAACAGTTCTTTGGTGTTTTTCTTTAACCTCTGAATGCTTTTTTCAAGTTTATTTTCCATGAAAGATAAATTACATTGGTACATTTTTAGAAATATTAAGCGTATACAGATAAATTATCGATAGTTGTGATATATTAGGATAGTCATCTGACTCTGGATTATATAACGGATGTGGTATAAAGACTGAGGGAGTTTGTATTTTCGATTTTTCTCCGCCTCTTCGCTGCCGCTGGGGTTAATTTTCTTCGAAGATTCACCATTCAATTCTGTAATAGAACCTGTCAAACGTTTGCTAATAAAATATAACAGTGTAACACTGTATGAAAAGATTTAGAAATTCATAATTAACAGTACGTTAGTATTGTCTAAGAAGCTGGAAAAATAATCAAAAGTTTTTTAAATTTTTTCTTCGTATTTAATCAAATTAACGTTTTGATATGTTGACATGTCATCATCAGTGGTTAAAACAAAAGCAATCTACAAAGTGATCTATAGATCCGTAATCTAAACGTAGAACAGTTTTCAGAAAAATTTATACAACACTGAAATGATCTGTTTATGCCACACTCATTAGCTCATAAATGGCTACTAATGGGCTAATAATTTATTTTTTCAGATGAATACCATTCTAACCAGATAATGTGCTCTCAACATTATAGAATATTTTTGATTGAATATAAACAACTTTTAGGACAAACATATGTGATTCTGTTTACAAAAGCAATACACCATTATCTGCTCAAAAAAAGTTGATGCGTCTACCGTTTGCTTAACTTTCGAAGTTGAACAAACAGCTGCGGTTTTTATCAATCGATAGAAAAGGTTTTACTGCATTTTTTCGCTAGTGACACGAAACATTTTTGTATTCAGAAAAGTAAATTAAATATTACCACTAAAGAACAACAATACCTTTCTTCAATATAACACATGAATGAGCTTAAATATCTAGTTTTTCTTCTTGTATACCGTTACTCGATGTACGGAATTTGCTATTATGCCTGCTTCTGGTTGAACATGACACCGAGGTTTTTGGTGTTCTATACGACAGTAGAGTAATCCTCGACAGTTTCGTCTGGAACTGCAGTAAGTATTTGGTGTTTTTTCGCAGAATAGCTACTGAAAGCCATAAAACTCACTTGCTTGGCACTTTGTTAAAATAAAATGCGATAAAGTTGTTAAATAGTTTTGCTGCATAAGTTAAAAACGATAGTAAAAACTAGCCAAAAGCCTTAATATTTTTGCAAACACAATGAAAATGTTTCGACTATAAAAAACGCTTACAAAATACTTAGGGCAGTCCAAAAGTAGTGAGGGAGGTACTTTATTTTCTTATGGAGCGCTTCAAAAACATTTCTCTTTTAATGAACAGATAGAGCATCTTTCGCTCTATTTTTCTATGCTATTTGATCAATATTCAACTAATATTATAATAATAAAATTTCGATAAGATCTGTTTCTTTCGCATATGTGCTGGTAGCATGAACATGAATGCTCGTGAGTATTT